ATTCTAAGAAGAAATGTAATGTATCTTTATAGTAAAAAACCTCAGCTTTTTAACTTTTTCGCTGTCAAAGGTTACAGATACGATGTCATTAGGTGAATTTTTGGTACAAAAAACAAAGGAAAACTAATTTGCAATTCACCTAATGACATCATATCCGAAAACTTTGAGAGTGAAAAAGTTGATCAAGATTGGACATGACTTATCGCTTACAATATTTACAAAAAATTCCTGTATTTTTATTGTTACTTACTTTTGCAACAATATTGCGTAGTTTATTGAAGAAATCTGGAGATGCATGACAATCACCTTTGAAATAAGACATAAAAGATTGTAGGTTTTCAATTTTTATGCACCAGACTACAACCAGGCTACAACTTAGCATTCCAGGGGACGGTTATACGAATGCCATTTTCGCAATCGCAAAGCTGTGTATATCTCTATTCTGTGCGTCAAACGTAATCAAGCAGGGGAGGCCAGGGCAAAGAGCCCTGCCATTGGTTATTTTAACTACACTTTTCTATACGCAGAACTGAAGCATGACTTCTTACCTCCCTCTGCAAGTATGGGTTCTATTATCACAGCAGCTATTGGTTTCTGTTTTTTCTGTTCATGGAATATCTCTTCCACCTTAAAAATGAACAATTAAGATTTAGAAAAGACGAAGCTAAGCGATCAACTTGCACCATATAGCCATTACTAGAGTGTATCCCAATCTACCACCTGTAAACCATCCAAAGCAGCTGGCTAATATATTGGACATGCAATGGTCCTCATATTTCGTCCAATAAATATTTCGAACTCAGTGGTAAAAAATACACAGACGAATTATTATATAAACTTGAAAATCCTGGAAAGTCCTTGAATTGGAAAACAAAATTTCCAGGACTGGAAAGTCCTCGAAAATCAGTAGAAGTCCTTGAAAGTCCTGGAATTAATTCCTTAACCTCCAGCTGTGCCAACATTGGTGATTTTGATTAAAATTACTGAATAAAGTGAATTATTTGCTGGTTAAAGTCTAAAATCCGTGCCATTTTCAAAGATTATTCCCAGTTCTATGTCCTTGAATTTACTGAAAAAGGGCCTTGAAAGTCCTGGAAAAGTCCTTGAATTTCATCCTCACCAAAAGGGTGGACACCCTGTACCAACGTTTTCTCGGACTTACCATGGCAAGACATCTTGTTTCCTCGGCCTCGTTTTCACGTTGGTGTTCATGTAACGGGTATTTAAGTTCTGGAAAATCTGCTTTCGGCCAATCAAATGTAGGGATATCCAACTTTTGCATTGGGTGGGAATACGTCACCGATAGTGTTCCTAGAATTGATGGACACACACAGAAATTTAGACACACGAGACGAGAATTGATGGACACACACAGATTTTTTGCAACTGCCCCCGGTCAGGTCTAAAAAAGTTTTATATATGCTCGTTACTTCTATCAGTTCTGAACTGTTCCCTCTAGAGGTGCAGTTAGTTCATACTGAATAGCTCTATATTTCCAGGGCCGTAGCAAAGAGGCTAAGGTTGGGGGATGTAGTATCGTATTTGCCGACAACATTTCAGTCCCTATAATGGGTGCTTCCAGCTATGGACGAAATTTTTATCTTTTCATTTCCAGACATACCATTTTTTACTAACTTTCAAATTAATGCACCGTAATTTGTTAAATGTTTCCGTAACATTTTCGTAAATTTATCAAAATTTTTGCTATAACATAGCAATTACTTTTTAATCCAAGCCACTCAAATATTTTTGCTGACTACGAAAACAATTTGCCGATGAATCCGTTATTTTGCCGACAAGTTGTTTTCAGGGGGGTGACACATAGATATCTTATATACACTAGATAGTGCATCTAATTATTCTGCAATTCAAAAATTGAAGCCGTGATTGCAGACTCAGGATATTCCCATGTAATGAGAAGACTCGTATGTTTTCTATTTCTTAAACAGGGAACTTAAATATTAAGTTAAACCTATTCCAAATACATTTTCGAACTATTCAAATGATGAAAGTTATTGTTGTTTTTTAAGCGTTTATTAGCGAGTGGGAAATTTCAACATGGCCGCCATCTATTTAAATGGGGGTAACCACTGGACTATTCTTGGCTTCGATTTTACTAAAAGAGATGCGCTATCTAGTGTATATAAGATATCTATGGGGTGTCACCACCCCCTCCTCCCTTTATAGCGACGGTCCTAACTCTATTCGTTCCAACTGTTCTCCGTAGTGATCCAATAAGGGTAGTCTCCTAACAGCCTTACCGTATAATCGTCCATGGAATCCACCTTTGAATGAGAGGATTGATATTTCTGGAGCACCGGGTGCCTGACATAAAAGTATTTCAATCTAACGTTAGCACTTGGTAAGCAAGATTTGGGTATTACAGTATTAATAGATAAAAATATCAGACCGTCTACAGTTATATTGGATTGATTGGTAGAATCCAACTGGGATTACTCTTCTCACATGTGATTGAGAAGAAATACCCGAGGCATATGGGCCACAGTACCATCTGCCCCCCAACCATTTTGATTATTCCTGCAGTGCACTCACTAGACTTGCCACAAGTCGACCATGGGGGGAGGGAAGGCGCGGGGGAGGTAGCGCGCGACCCGAGCGACGAAATGCACTCACTTGTCCAACAAGAGACGTTGAAAGTTCTTCCTCAGTTGGAGCACGCCCTGCTCTTTCTCTGGCCTGCAATCCAAAACAGTACGGTAGTTACAATATGTTGAATAGATTTGTGGGTGGAAACCTTGATGAATGGAGTATGGACAAATATCAGTAGGTAATATAAGTAAGCGTAATACTAAGCGTGATGTAATCGGTCACTGAAAAGCGGCAAAGTGAACTAAATAATGCACAATGTACATATAATTAATACTTATATAATAGATAATACAATAATAAAATAGGCTAAGTACGTAATTGACCACTTGCGTAATAGACAATTAGACAAAATTTTGATCTCAACAAGTCTAGACAAAAATTTCATCACAGCTTGAAAGAGCATCACAAAATTAGTAATATTCCAAAGTTTCGTTTCGAAATGTTGTAAAGTGCGGATAATGTAGCCTTGCGAAGTTTGCCGTTTTTCAGTCATTTTGCATTACGCGGGAGAAATTGACAGACCAATACCCTTTGGGTCTGTCAATTTCCCGTTTGTAATACAAAATGACTGAAAAACGGTAAACTTCGCAAGGCTATATTATCCGCATTTTACAACATTTCGCAACGAAACTTTGGAATATTACTAATTTTGTGATGCTCTTTCAAGCTGTAATGAAATTTTTGTCTAGACTTATAGAAATGCTAATAGTAAAAAAAAGCCCACCTTGTATGTTATCATGGCACTCTTCATCGCGTTTTCGTTTGAACATGTTCCGCATCCCATTGGAGTGACTTTGTTTAAACCTTTCGGTGCAACCTGAAGTAATATTAGTTTGTGTTGGTAATTAGCACCAAATCCACATTACAGTGAAGTAAGTTGTTTGAATCTTTTGTTGTCCAATGTTGGTGGTAATTTAGTTTAGGTTTCCTCATGTAGTAACCCTGAGCAAGTATATGGAATAAGCCACGGAGAGGGGGGATGGGTGGGGGTCCAGACCCCTACTTGTCTTCAAGACCAATTTTGTAATTCTTCAAAAACTGGGGAGAAACTGGGAGGGGCGTTACCTCGTAATACTTTAAATCTATGACATAAAATATACCAAATCTGTGGTTTACAGATTATCATAAAACGTGTCTAAAATGCATGAAATAGCGTTTCCCGGACCTAAAAAATAGAAAACAATTTCTGGGGGACTCCCCACCTCACCCCTCCCCCACCTCACCCCCCCCCCACACACACATTCGTCCCTCTCCCCCCACACTCACCCGTTTGGGGTTGACTAGGGCCATGGCATGGGATTGCATGTGACTTTTAATAGGCCTCTAGCAAGAACGATTTATACACAACTTATAGAGTTATCCCATATAAATAATAATACAGTCGAACCCATATTTAGCGGACACCTTCGGGATCTTGCCTAAGTGTCCGCTTAAAAGGGGTGTCCGCTTAAAAGGGGTATGTAGAAAAACACAGCAGGAGGCAAAGGTGTGTAATTAGGTGTGTAATTTGAGTATCAAAACAAAAAATATCTAGCAAATAATTAGCATAAAATGATATACGTCTCTCACAGTCAATATAAAAAAGGAATCGATACAAGATTGCTTTCAAGGTTCACGCAGAAGATAGCCCATTATAATGTCATTTACATACAAATGGCGTTGGAAAGTTCTTCCAAACCTCGAAATTGTGCGAATTCTGCCAGCCGCTCGACAACTTTAAGGGCTTCGGAGGACGATTTAATGACTGTTTCGTTAAGAGATCAGTCAAATTCATCATCTTCGTTCAGTTCGTTGTCATCATCAGTGATCTGTCACATATTTTTCGGCTCCTCGGCTGGCGGTTCACAGTCCTCCGTCCTCGTTCGTCACTTCCTCAATAATCTCTGCTCTGATGTCTTCGCGGCCAGTTGGTGTGTCACTGTGCCATGTAAATTGATCTCAATTGTTATTTACTCTCGAATATTGAATACATTTTATCAGACAATCTGTCATCTGTCCGCTTAAGAGAGGTTGATTTGTCCATTGGGACCTCGAGTAAGGTGTCCGCGTCCGTTAAAGAGGGGTGTCCGCTTAATAGGGGTTATGATAATGGTATTTATTAAAGAAAACGAATGGGACCTGAAATATGTGTCCGCTTAAAAGAGGTGTCCGCTTAAGAGAGGTGTCCGCTTATAGGGGTTCGACTGTATACTTTAATGTAAGCTGTACTTACAGACATAAGAGTGGACTTTAACAAATCAGCAAAATTCGTAGGAGGGAAAAACATCATAGCAGGTCTATTGATCAATATGGCCTGAAAAAAATACATCGATATATCGATTAGCTTCCCTGACAGGCATTCTTTGCGGGTCTCCGCATATATATCGATATGTTATCACAATTGAAAACCGTCCAATAAGTACAAAAATTGTGTTCGTCGTTTTGAAAAACGTTTCTAATTTAGACGATGTTAAACTTACTAGGTTTTCTGGCCGGGTCAAAACTTCTTTTAAAGCTGGATGATTATACCCTATTGGAAAAAATGAACATCGTTATACAGGATGTATAAAAATGTGCACAATTAGCCATTCCGAAGTTCGCGCTTCGGCGCTCGCTCTATGGGCCCTTTTCCAAGTTATGGCCCCCCACTTGTACATCTTTAAAATATGCCTTGACTTCAAGCCTTCCATTTTGGTGTGCATCCAAGCCAGTGGAAATGCCATTTACTGCACTTTCTGTCATTTCTTTTTAGTCGGTCTGCACAGTTTAATAAAAACCTCTCCCTTGGCTTTTAAAAAGTCCTTACCTAGAGGTAAAGCAGCAATGTGTTGAAAAATGTCCAAAAGGATATTTCCGTCCGCATCGACGACATAATTCCCCCGACTGTTTTCGTAATCCAAAAAGAAGTGCGGCAAACTGTTTGTCTATGCAGTGAATAAAAATCAATGTTAGTTACCTGGGCCGGATATTTTTTCAACCGTTGTAAAAAAATTACGAAATAACCAATATGGAATATTGCGGTCCTGCGGCATTGCACTGAACTACATGCAGAGTCCAGTTGCCAAAAACTAATTAGCAATTCCGAAGTTGATGAGTGGACTGGGGACGAGTGTTAAAAGTGCCCAAATTAAGAAATGAACCAAATCACTAAAAAGACCACCTCAAAATTGGTAAGTATATAACGTTTGAAGACGTTTACGTGAATACCCTTCGAATAATAAGCTTTCGAAAATTGTGAAATTACTGATTAAAAGACTGTTTTTGGGACGCGCGTCCCCAAAAACAAAAATTACAGTACATTTCATAGCAAATATCGCGATTTTCGAAGGCTTATTATTCGAAAACGTCTTCAATAATTTTGAGGTGGTCTTTTTAGTGATTTGGTTCATTTCTTAATTTGGGCACTTTTAACACTCGTCCCCAGTCCTCTCATCAACTTCGGAATGGATAATCACAAGTTAATGTATGAATTTTTCTGTGCCGTTGGTGTTGTGTACTCAGGTGAATAATATGTTTGCGATGTTACTCTGAGTGCATATCCACACCGGACGAGCTTGAAAAATATGCCCGGCCACGGTGGGAATACGTGGCCGGGCATATTTTTCAAGCTCGTCCGGTGTGGATATGCACTCAGAGTTAATGTATACATACATATATGCAGTATAGATAATGAATGCACTATATGTAAAGATTTTTGGAAACAGCTGTGAAAAATGCAATTCTACAGGCGGCAGGAATTAGATCTGCGGCAATATTTACCTGGATTTCATTCAGTTCTTCCAGCAATTTCTAGAGAGAAAGGTTGATCGTATATTTATTGAGCTCAACAACAAGTTGTTAGAGATAAGCGATGAAAAATATTATTTGACGCAGTATTTTAGTATTTCCTGTGTTGGTGTAATGTACTCAGGTGAATACCGGATGCTTGTGATGTTACTCTGAGTGTATATCCACACCGGGCAAGCTTGGAAAATATGCCTGTTCACGGTGGGAATCGAACCTACGACCTTTGGAATACTAACCCAATGCTCTGCCAACTGAGCTACGCGGTCAGCCCTGTTCGAGTATGTGATATTTCGGAACAGAATCTAGTTCCTTCGATATCAGTGTAATCATATTCACCTGAGTACATTACACCAACACAGAAAAAATCATGATTATTAGATTACATTGATATCGAAGGAACTAGATTCTGTTCCGAAATATCACATACTCGAACCGACCTGACCGCGTAGCTCAGTTGGCAGAGCATTGGGCTAGTATTCCAAAGGTTGCAGGTTCGATTCCCACTGTGGCCAGGCATATTTTTCAAGCTTGCCCGGTGTGGATATACACTCAGAGTAACATCCCAAGCATCGTATCATTGGTATAGTTATTACAAAACATAGCAATGCATTTTTTTCAAAATCGTTTCAAATTTTGAACCCAAAAACGTCCCAAAACTATGACCACATACAAACTCCTAAAGATCCTTAAAATGCCTTCTTTAGATACAAGAAAATCATGAGATTAATCATAGATATCTTATATACACTAGATAGCGCATCTCTTTTACACGCGTAAAAATCATCATGTTGATGCAAGTTGTTCAAAACAGGAGCGAACAATGTTGTGCTGCCCCCCGTGAACAATATTGTTAACAAGTTGTTGAACCATCAACATTGTTGCAACTTGTTGACAATCATGTTAACAACTTGCAACAGTACTGATGGTTGAACAACTTGTTAACAATATTGTTCACGGGGTGCAGCACAACATTGTTCACTCCTGTTTTAACAACGCCGAACAACCTGATCAATTTTTACCCGTGTAGTAAAATTGAAGCCAAGAATATTCCAGCGGTTTCCCCCATTTGAATAGATGGCGGCCATGTTGGTCGTTCCCACTCGCTAATAAACACTTTAAAACAACAATAACTTTCATCATTTGAATAGTTTAAAAACGTATTTGGAACAGGGTTAACTTAATGTTTAAGTTCCCTGTTTAAGAAATAGAAAACATACGAATCTTCTCATTTCATGGGAACGACATGAGACTGCAATCACGGCTTCAATTTTTAAATTGCAGAATAATTAGATGCACTATCTAGTGTATATAAGATATCTATGAGATTAATCCGTTGGAATTAAACTTGACAATTTTCTATATTTCAGGGCCTACATGCAACCGTCCGTATAACGGTCCCGCGGTTTGGAAAATGTCATCTAAGGAATGGTATTCCAAAGAATGAAGGTCGTATTTGTGAGGCAATCAATCCAGTAAGTGGAAGAGTTCAGTAGTATTTACCTGTGATTTGGGGCCAGGTACGTTATCTGTTTTAACAAAAGGTCTGGTATACGTTTCATGATTTAAATTCACACGTGAATGCGGTTCTGGTGTCTCTTGTGGCTGGGCATAACCTGTCAAAATACATTGCGATAATTGAGGATCTAGATGGGGTTTAATGTTAAGTGTTGACGGCCCATATTCCATATTCTATATCTGGCTACTAACTCTTGACGAAGGGCCTTCGCTCGAAACGTCGAGTTTCTGCTTGTTTATTTCAGGTAGTAATATAACCACTCAGCAGAGCATTTTCATATTCTACAGGGTGTCTCAAAAAAAACCAAAATCATTGAAATAACGTATTGTTCGAATTTCAATGCCGTAACACAAAGGATTTTGACAGGGTGATTAATTTGTTTTAAAAAATTAAAATATCTTTGTAAAGTGAACGTTTGTTTGCTCATGAGAATTTAAAAATGCTTCGTAAATTGTAATATGCGTAATATGCATTCGTGGGTTTAGTACTTTATGCCTGACATAACAAGTTTACGCTGAGTATTACCATTCATTATAGCAGTTATGTCAATCTTTTATGCACTCGTGGGATTAACTTAGTGCTAGGGCATTGAATATCGAACAATACGTCAATTTCAATGATTTTGGGTTTTTTTGAGACACCCTGTATAGTGTTTAATGTGGAAACGCTAAAAATTTTGTTGTTTACTGTCATGGAAGACTTAGCAGTTAAGTGTTTTATTAATTACTATAAAAATACCGTGACTATAAAAGGGCCTTAAACTACTAAATTTCAGACTTCATTTATTTTTGTGTGAACCACATATAATTAACAGTATACATTATATTCTGTGAACAATTACGTGCTTTTATATATCGTCATCAAATTTAGCAAAATTTTACTGTTGTTTTTTACTGTTACTGTTAAATTACTGAAAAAATCTAATGTTTACTGTTTTGGACACCACCCTTCTGGACCCTCATAATTGTGCAGTTAGTGAAGAAAGCACCATATTGACAGGATGTGTAGACTTTCACACAAGTATGGATATCAGATATGGAGGCATCTGTGAAATTAACGCTGATAGCTAAAAATTTTGAATTTCTGACATTTTAATATAAGTTTCTATTACTGATAGAAATTTTAAAATTCCAAGGTAGCTCATATAGGACGTATAGTGATTTGCTTTGTAAAAAATTTCCTATGTATCTTTTAAAATTTCCTTTCATTGGCTGTTTTATTAACTTTCAAAAATTGAAAAATCGCGCCGCGTTGTCGAATCGCGTCCGGTGTGTCTCGGGCCGATCGAAAAGGAACGAGTTAGTCGGACAATGAATTTTGCACTGTCAGAATATGCTCTTTGCACTATCAGAATTTACATGGACCTCTATGAAGAACAGTTTAGAACTGATAGAGCTATCCAGTGGTTAGCTTAGGTTTTGGATGGGTAAGGAGCATTGAACTATAAATAAACTGGAAGGCTAACTCAGGGGGGGAAATTGAAGCCAGTGCATTTTAGTTTTTCTGAGTTATGAGCAGAAATACTCAACACTGAACGTTGGGCTATATATCAAATTGAAGCTATTGAAAAACGCTATTTGGTGTAGAAATTTCAAGACTTTAGCTAAAAGGGAAATATTGAAAAACTACAAACATAATTACCGATAATTTGCCGTTTTGCAGTTGTTTTTGTATTTTTTAAATATTTCTCTTTTCGCTGAAGTCTTGAAATTTCCACACCGAATAGCAATTTTCAATAGCTTCAATTTGATATATAGCACGACGTTTGGGGTCAATATTTCTGCTCATAACTCAGAAAAACTATTTTGGCTTCATCAAATCATAGGCCTTCATCATAGCAGTTAGCCTTCCAGTTTATTTATAGTTCAATGGCTCTGACATATGGCTCTGATAGACTTATATCCCTGTTATATCCCCATGTTATCCCCAGTTATCCCACATACTTTCAAAATGGCGTAAAATTTTGAAATTTGTTTTTTTATAAATAAATTAATAAAATTTTCAGTATATTTATTATTTTTCGCCTCTTATTCTTTGTCGTTCGTGTTAAATTGTTTGCACTATGGTGAAGCCACGAAAGAAAGGTAGGCATAGTTATTTTTTTAACGACAGAATCATAGAATTGTTCATTTTTGCTGTTGTTTGATTTGGCTTGAAACTCACTTTTAGTCTCAAGTTTTGTATTTCGTCCTATTTGTATCTCTTGCAACACCTTCATAGACACTTTGAACATCAATTTTAAGTCTTGTACAACCATATCATGTTTTAGTTTCTTCTGTATAAAAATTAAAACATGTGAGATTTTAACTGGTTTGATGCCAGAGGGCCTATGGGCATTGTCCCATTGGGCAAGGCTATCACTGGTTGAATTTTTTGCAGAAGCTCGCCAGCTTGGGTTTCTGGTTAGGACCAAAATGTGTAAAATTTACACTTGAAAATTGTATTTACAAAAGACCATCTGCTACAATTCTAAATCTTGATACCGTTGCTTGCAACTAAGCATGAATGGTCGCAGATAAAACATTGTCTATTCTCATGACAAAGTTCAATGTTTTACCGACCAAGTTCAATGTTTTTACCGACAAAATTTCAGCGTTTGTGATGACATTTTATGGTTTCAATTCGCTCAGCCAATCAGCTTGGGGCTGGTTGAACGTGATTGGCTAATCAGATTAAAACCTGTCATTGACAAACATTGAACTTTCTCGGTAAAAACATTGAACTTTGTCACAGGAATAGGCAATGTTTTTATGAGTGACCGTTTATCCTTTGTTGCAAATGATGGTATTTGGAAAATTTATATATATATTCACTTGTTTAGTGCCAGTTGCTTCACGAGCTGAGCTGATGATGTTGACTATATCAGAGATTGTCAACCAACTGATTGAAGCGCATAACAAAGGCGAAGACTCGAACTTAAATAAGTAAAGGAAATATAATGTGATACCTGTATTCAGGGGCATGGCGAACGATTCCAGATTGGGGGGGCGGCGTCATACCATAATGACCAACTTTTTCAATGAAAATGACCAACGTTTTCGTGTTTAAAAAAATCTTTCTCTAAATTTTTTTTGGTCAAAATTGGCCAAAAAATTTGGCCAAAAAATTTTCGGTCAGTGTACCATTTTAGGGGTAAAAATTTTTTTCCAGACCTATCGCATTTTTCGCGACATTACAATTTTTTCGGATATCACAAATTTTCTCCGTTTATCAAAGAACTTTTTCCAAAATTCTGAACATTTTTTGGATTTTCTAAAATTTTTGTAAATAATATAAGATTTCGTTTAATATTTAAATAATTCCTTTGACCAACTTTTCAAAAATTTTGACCAACTTTTCAAAAATTTTGACCAACTTTTCAAAGTTCAGAATTATTGGGGGGGCGTCGCACCCCCCCAAGACCCCCCAGTTGCCACGCCCCTGCCTGTATTAAGCCATTGAGCGCCAGTGCTTTCCTCTTGAAGAGTAAAAATTGTCTGGCATTAGACAGAGGGTGCATTAGGGTACAATGCAACATAATGGGTTGACTCATTGGACACCAGTGCTCTTTCCTTGATGAGTAAAATTGGCTGGCATATTAGACAGAGTAATTTAAATACATACACTGTCACTTAATGGATTAAGGGCACTGTGGACTGTTTTATACCCTACCAAATCCAATAAATTTACAATTATGTATTTATTGCCATGTAAACTTGCAAGAAGCATGTTGAATTTTGAGGAGTAACTATTCGGTTATCTTTTGTTGAAGAATTAAAAGTCGTGCTGCTAGTAAATATGGACTTGCATCACAGCCTAGATTGGTGGACATCATTGCTGCTGTTCCAGCTGCTTATAAGAAGGTGTTGTTTTTATCACTTCATTGTGCTTAATTTATGATTTTCTATGGAAAACAAAGAATTTTTTCGAGTGAAGTTATACAGGCATTCTGTATTCTGCACTACTATGATTTCGCCTGGATATTTTTGCCCGGAAAGGCCCGTTTACATTTGCAATTTTTGCCGAGATTTCAGGTGCGATTTTTCCTTCTGATGCAACGGTGACATGAAATTGCCAGTGTAAACACCCAGAAATTTAACTGCAATTTCAGTGCAACTTCACTGTTTTTGGCAACAGGCTTAACTTATCCAAAATGTTTGGTTGTAGGTTGCCAGATTGCTATAATAACTATAAGCTGTATCTTGTCAATCAGAAGAAGACTGTTACTGAGTACAATGTATAATATTTGTTTAGGTTTTGCTTCCCAAACTGAAGGCGAAGCCTGTGAGAACTGCATCTGGGGTAGGTATTGTACCTTTTTGTGTGGGGAAGTGTTATACCCATGTGCCACACTCACCTTCATGGGCGGTGCTAGGGGGGTGAAACACACACACCAACTCATCAAAATGTGAATTGGATATAAAAGTTGGGGTAAGCTGAACCCCCCCCCCCCCCTGTATGTGATTTTTTGTTTTGTTGATATTTATATTACTTTGTCAGATTGCTGTTGTTGCTGTAATGTGCAAGCCACATCGTTGTCCACATATTAATATGACTGGGAATATCTGTGTGTAAGTGTCACTTTCTCACAACTGAAATAACAAATGTATTACAAATTTATAATAAACTTTTTTAGGTTGTTTTTGTACTCTTAAGTTTATGTATTCAATAAGAGAAAGCTTCGGATTGATAAGGATACAACTACCTGAAAAATACAAGGAGAATGTCAACATTTCAAGCGACGGTCCTTCTCGATGTTCAAAGTGCCTTCGCCTGAAACATTGAAGTTCTCCTTGTATTTTGCAGCTAGTTGTAACCCCATCAATCCAAAGTTCTGTTATCATTGCCATTACCTACTGTACACTGGCACAAGACCATTCAAGATTATATATTCAATGTGGTAAACATTAAAATAACTAATTTATCCTTATCAGTTACTGTCCAGGTGGACCAGATTCTGACTTTGAATATTCAACTCAATCTTACACTGGTTATGAGGTAATTTTACATTTTAAAGAACCCACTAGACAGTGATGGACATTGTGCGACAACTGTTATCATTTCCAACCCTTAACAGTTTGTTTTTAATTGAATTATTAATTTAGCCAACGTCTATGAGAGCTATCCGTGCAAGATACAATCCATATCTACAAACGAGGCACAGACTGGAGCAGGTGAAATTTCTTGAATGGACATTTTTCTAACAATACACTGGGAAAAGTTTTTTTATTAACTTTACAATCATATCATATAAAAAAATACACATACAGCTATGATTGAAGGATTGGACAACAGAACTAGAATCCCATACTAAGTCCACTCATCTAACACTAACGCCCGTATTCTAAAAGCTCACTCACACTCAATGAGTGGAGGTTCAATCTGAGCTTCTCTAGTTCTCTGGAGTGTTATTGCTGTTTTTGAATAGCTGGAGGGCTAGTGTCATACCTTACTAATACTATGTGACTACTCACCCTCCAGTTATTCAAAAACAGCATTGACACTCAAGAGAAGCTCAGATTAAACCTCCGCTCATTGAGTGTGAGTGAGCTTTTAGAATACGGGCGTAAAACACGACATATTACGGACTACAAACTGGACAATGTAATACTGATTTTACAGGTCTTTGCACTATATAAAAAAAGAATAAATACGACACTACTTTGAAATTATTTGTGAGGTTGAGATTTGACCCCCACCACCATCAACACTATTTGGAAACCACCAACCACTTAATGCAAACCAGGTCAGCACATCATGTTTGCATGTAAGTGGTTAGTGGTTTCAAATTAGTGGTCGTGGTGGTGGGGTCAAAAATGATAACATTACAAAATAATATGGATCCCACAATTAATGAAAGGAAACTTTAATTTTTATATACTCAAGTACATAAATCTGGGTTACACCAGTCAACATTACTGTCAAAGACTTTAAGAAACCTTGAAAAAATCACTATCCAGTGGACAGTGCTATCTGGTGGCTTTCATACAACCGGCCTTGGTCTTTAAGAATTACAGTAGTCAAATCTTAAGATGCTTTGTTTCTTGTATTTTTAGCTTAAACAGTTAGGACACAGCATTGACAAGGTATGCACCTAAAAATTCCTTACCATATAAACAATTTTCTGCATTGTACATAAATGTAAAATGATGTTTTACTCTGTGGCTTGTGGTCTCTGTTAGGTTGAGTTTATCGTGATGGGTGGAACATTTATGTCACTGGATGATACATATCGAGATTATTTCATCAGGAATCTCCACGATGCACTCTCTGGTCATGTTAGTAATGATGTCAAGGAAGCTGTTTGGTAAATACTTTGTAATAATGTTAATGTGTGCCTAAAATAATTACAGACTCTACTTTATTATGTATAAACACAACGTATATATCTAATAGTAATAATTTAATTTATTCTTGCAGTTTTTCTGAAAAAAGCACAACCAAGTGCATTGGTATCACAATCGAAACAAGACCTGATTATTGTCTAAAGAAGCATTTAAGGTGCAGAAACATGTTTTATACAAAATTCCATTTCTTTCTGAACGTACCACCGTAAAAGACCCAGTCTTAAGATGCAATTTGCATTCTTCAGTTCAATGTTGGAATACGGTTGTACAAGACTTGAAATTGGTGTTCAAAGTGTTTACGAAGATGTTGCTAGAGATACAAATAGGTAAAAGTAAGCTTTTTGTCGTTTTTGTCTGATTTCAAGTATTGTAAAATACCACGGCTGATAGACAAGGCATAAATACTGACCAAGTGTTCTTTTGTTAGGGGACACACTGTCGTGGCCACGTGTGAATCATTTAATATGGCTAAAGACGCTGGATTTAAGGTGATAGTAAAAGTCTCTCTGGAGTACAGAGACGTACATACTGTACATTGAAAGGCATACATTACAAAAGCATTATGATTGTATTTAATTTATTTTTCCATGATTCGTTTTACCAGGTCGTTTCTCACATGATGCCAGACTTGCCCAATGTTGATTTCGAACGAGACATCGAACAATTTATTGTACGTAATTTCTTTGTTTTGTTAAGCTGAATTACTTGCATCCCATGTTTATGGTTGATTTACCTTAACTTAAGGAATTTTTCGAGAGTCCAGCCTTCAGGGCCGATGGTTTGAAGATTTATCCTACTTTGGTTATCCGTGGAACAGGTAATGTAAAGAAAAGTGCTGGTTGAATGTTTGACATTGTGTTAAGTAAATGGGGTGCATACAGTACGTGTCATGCAGGTTTATCTTAGGGGCCATTCACAAAGGATGTCCGGCCAAATGATGGATTTTCAGACCCCCCTCCCCCCCTTGTCCGGCATTGTCCGAATTAGTGACCCCTCCCCCCCGGACATCCGCCATGCCTCGCAAAACTCACGCAACCTTGTATATATCAAGAGTAAAAAACTTTTTTACTTTTAGAACTTTTTTATAACTGTAAATGTGAACACAAAAACATATAAATTACTAATTAAAACAAAATCTAGTGTTAACCGCATAGTCAAAATGCCAAT